CTCAGTGATTGGGTTTTTAATGAAATCAAGTTTCATGAAAAAGTTAATATTATTCTCACATTTCACTACCAAATAGCAAGAGCAGTAAGCCAAATGACAAGAGTAGTGAGCAAAATAATAATTCTGTGATTGGGTCTCTCATGAATTTAAGTTTCATAAAATTTGCCATTATTTCTGCATTTCACTACTAAATAACAAGAGTGGTAAGCCAAATGGCAAGTTTGGTAAGTGAAATTACAAGCATGTGACTGAGTTTCTGATGAAATTATGTGTCATAAAAAGTTGTCATTATTTTCATATTTCACCTCCAAATGACAAAAGAGGTAAGCTAAATGACAATGGCAGTAAGCGAAATAACAATTCCATGGCTGAGTTTCTCATAAAATTGAGTTTCATGAAAAGTTGCTATTATTCTCACATTTTACTGCCAAATGATAAGAGAAGTAAGCTAATTGACAAGAGTCATAAGCAAAATAACATTTTGTGACTGGATTTCTCATGAAATTAAGTTTTATGAAAACTTGTCATTATTTTCACATTTCATTACCAAATAACAAAAGTGGTAAGCCAAATAACAAGTTTGATAAGCAAAATCACAAGTATGTGACTGGGTTTCTCATTAACTTCAAAACATTAAATATATATACATTGTTACCCTTTAGGACTGATAAATACAAAATTTTAACATTGATTTGCCCATAAATAAAAGACTAACATTTTGATATTTTCATGTCATGGTGCTGTCATCATAGTAACAAATTTGTAGTTACAATACTACTAAGCAAAATTACAACAGTGGTAAGCTAAATAACAAAAAACCAATGGTTCTTCAACAGCAACCAGTTTCTGCATAAATTAACTCACTATCTTGTAGCAGTCTTCTTCGAACCCCTCCAAAAACCCAGCAGCTCAACAATCAACATTTTCCAGCCACTCATATCGATGCATACCAGCGGTCTTCACAAACACTTTGAATCTAGAAGACAAATATAGTTTGTATGGCATCTAAGAGTAGAGAGAGGAGGTTCAATACAAAGATGGTAGTTGTGATGCGTTGTTTGACAGCAGCTTCTTCAAGAGAGGGAAAGGAGAGGAAGTGAAGGTAGACATAACAAAGATGATGAAGTTTAGCTAGGTTGAAGATGAGTTTAATTAGTTAGGTTGAAGAAGATAGATTGAAGATGGTTAGTTTAGCTAGGCTAAAGAACATGGTTTTGTGTCTGCAAATGAGAAGACGATATAAGATGCAGAAGGGCTTTTTGGTCTTTTGACTATCATTTTATATTTATAATTTAAGACCTGATCTCTTCAAATAATTATGTTAATTTAAAAACCCATTTTGTTATTTCATATTTTTAAGGGTCTTTTTTTTGCCATTTTCCTGTATTTATAAAGTATAAAATTTATAATAAAAAGTTACATTTTTCAAATTTTTCTTTTTGTCTGATCAACATTTATCAAAATTATTAATATATTATTAGTTTTCTTTAAAATTTCACTATTTATAATTTATTTCTTAAATTTTATATGATGGACAAAATCTTCAGTTATTTATAATAGCATGGGAAGGCGTGGAAATGGGAAGAGTCGAAATATATGATGGACAAATCTTCAATTATTTATAAAAGCATGGGAAGGAATGGAAATGGGAAGAGTTGAAATATCCTCCATCCTTCATCATGGATCACACTTTTTTGTTTTTTCACGACATACAGATCAAGAAAATATTAAAATATAGGTATTTTTTTAGTGACAAAATAAATCTGAAAGCCGGCAAAAAATAAATCTGAAAATTAGCGACCATGGAGGAGGTATCAATAATCATTTAAGCAGGACCAAGCATTGTAAATAAAAAATGATAAGAAATAAATTTCCTCCTATTTATTACTACTTCACTTCCTATTTAGGGGACCCATTTTGGAAGGTGTTTTTAGTCCTTTTTATAAAATATTTGATAGTTTTAAAGACTATTAAATATTTTTTTTCATATATACTCATATTTAGTAAGAATAGTGCGACAATAGAAATTATTATAATGTTAGAGTTTAGTATAGTTATCACTTGAATTTTATAACAAATTTAATGTTTTTAATTATTTTTATTAGTATGTATGAATTATTTTCAATAGCCTTTTGTTAGATGTTTTTATTAGCACTTCAAACTTGTCAATGGCTTAGGAGCAAGTGAATTATGTGTGAATTTTTTATGTTTGTTTTTGTTTTTTTTTTTAAATTTGAACTTTTTAAAACTGATTTTTCAATATAACATATTCAAATAAATTTCTGTTACACTGACTCTTTTTTTTATAAAAATTTATCTAAATATAAATTGTATTATACTAATTCACTCCCATTTCAACTTTAATTTACAAAACTCTCACAGTCTCACGCAATAATGCTAACCCAAAGTCCCATACAAGCTCAATTATTACCACGGTTGTTATGAAAAGGTATCTCAATTATTACCGTGGTTGTTACGAAAAGGCGTGGGCGCTTTGGTAGAGACGCGTGCTGTGAGCGAGGCAGAGGAAGAGAGAAGAGAATGGGAAAATAATGGGTGTTTGAATTTTTTTTTTTTTAAGTACTTTCAAAAGCTGCCAAACTGCCTATGAAATATTTAAAAAAAAAAAGATGAAAAGTTAATGACCCGTTTGGTAAAAAGAATTGGTTAGAAAGGATAAGAATAGAATAAAAAATTTCTCATCTGAGGGTCTGTTTGGCAAGCACTAAAATGAAAAATAGGTTGATAAAAATTTTATATTTAGTTGGATAAAAATAGGATGAAAAAGTGTTCAAGTTCACTCTATTATCCTTAATAAAAGAATATAATATTATTATATCAGAATGCTTTTCAACTTTATAGAAATACAATATTATTAAAAAATTTAATGATTAAAAAATGGATGAATAAAAAATACTATAATTTGAATAAATAAATATGAGTATTCAATATAAATATAAAAATTATATATATTAAATAAAAAATAAAAAAATATAAAATCAAATATAATAGAGAAATTTGAACAAGGAATGAAATACATCTATAAACAGAAAAAAAAGAATGAAATATGATCAAGCAATTTATAAATCTGAATGGACAAAAATAAAGTCAATTAAAATTTTTGGTGAATATATATTCTTTAATTTAAATTTAAATAGGTCAAATGATCTATCATTGGAAAGCTCTGAGGTTTAATTTCTAATGTAACATGACCCATTCAAAAACTTCTTGTATTTTGGAATTTATTTTTAAGACAGTAAGCAAATGTCACAAACGTTTCCACACAAAAAAAGTGTAATGTTGCGTAATTAGATTATTGAGATAGACGTTATTAAAAAGCTGATTAAGCTTGGATTTACATCAAACAATTTTTTACTTTAAAAGTATTTATAGTTTGTGAGATATTATAATAATATTAATCAAAGTTATCAGGTAAAAAAGAAGAAGTTAAAGTTGTAATTTAAATTTTATTGCATCTAATTTGAATCTGCTTAAGAAAATTCGAACTTGATGTAACAAATTCAAATTTTCTTGCATCAAATTTGAATTGGCTCATTTCCTTGTCACAGTTTAAAACTTAACCATGAGTTTATTAATGTAAATTAGAATTTGTATCAAAAAATTCCTGTTGGAAGTCAAAGATAGGATATATCCGGATATTGTGAGATATAGCGTGATATGTAGATATTATAGGGAGAGAGAATATAAGATCAGTAAGAGGATAATGTGGGATCCTTTGGATATGGGCTTTACGATTATGCTCCTGTATATATATGTATTCGATCATCGTGAAATAATATATTCTTCTTCTGCGCATTATATTTTTCAATTCCAATTTATGCATTATACACTCTAACTTTTGCATAAAATTTGAATTTACTCAGATTTTGTCATACTCTGTTTTTTACGCATTGAACAAAATAACTTTCAATTAGTTATGATTTTCTCAATTTAAATTCAAATTGGATAAATAACCCATATCATTCAAAAGCTATCCAAATCTAGTTTTTAATGCAACAAGATCCATTTACACACACTTCGTAATTTTAAAGTTATGATCAAAATAGTGAGCAAGGGTCAAAAGAATTTTTCTCACTAGATTTTGAATCAGATTTGAAAAATCATATCTTTTTCATATGAAAACATTTTTATTGAGGTAGGTGTTGAAAAGCTTGTTGAGTCTACTTTTGTATATAAAAAAAATCTCACTTCAAAAGTATTTATATATAGGCTATGAACACTAGACACGATGTAAATTTGATGATTGAGCTAAAGGCATTACTACAGAAAAAGCTAACTGTAGCGCTTATTTTTTTACTTTTGTAGCATTTTCAAAACGCTACATTCAAACCTATTACAAAAGATGTTGGGAATAAGCTGTAGCGCTTTTGAAGCGCTACAAAAAATTTTTATTTTTTTAATATGGTAACTTATTATTATTTTTTATTATGGTAACTTCCTGTAACGTTTTCCTAAGAAAGCGCTACAGGAGAAGCATTTCTTGTAACGTTTTATCAGGAAAGTTCTACAGAACATATTACATCCTATAGCGCTTTACCAGTAAAGGGTTACGAGTTATAATTTCTGTAGCACTTTCTTATGGAAGCACTACAGAAGTATTTTTTTGTTTTAAAAAAATTAATTGATATTCTATAGCACTTTTTTTAATGAAATGCTATAGAATATATAATTGTTTAAAAAAATATTTTCTATATAATTTTCAAAACCACATTTACAGAAACTTTACATAGAAATTTCTCAATTGCCAACAAAATTCAAAGATCAGATGCATACAATAAAATTCTTAGAACAACATAACTAATTAATTAGCAAACTTACATCACTATTATGTATCTTGACATAAGTTGTGAACAAAATCAATCTAGTTCTAATTCTTCTCAACTAAAGGCAAAACATAGGAGAGAAGCTATAAAATGATCCACTTATATAAAGTATTGTTGGAACACATATCTACACCACTCTTTAATGACTTTATCTACTTAGTTGTCAGTGTACTTTGCGCAATGTGCATCTTCATAATACTGCTCAATAATTTACATATATAGCCAATTAAAATCACTAAAAATTAACTATTAGACAATAATTAAAGTTAATAAACAATATAAAGTTAAACTAAAACTACTTACACTGTCAGGAATAAAAGTTTGATCATGAGTAATAATGTCTTTCATGAATCTCATAATATAGTAATCATAATCATTAATATTGGGTTTGAAAGGGCACTGCAGTAATATCATCAAATAATTAAATCAATTTATGAATACAAGTGGTTTTTTCAAAACTAGAGTAAATTTAAATAAATACTTTAATTTTTTTCCACACGTAGCTTTTTGTGGTGTCAGGGGCTTTAGAATAACTCAATGATGCAAAATCTCGATAGCCAATCAACGCACTAACAAAATAAAGTTGAAAGTAAATTGGTTCTTCAATCGTACAAATATACACACATGTGAATGGGTAGACACTTACCTATTGAGCAGCCTTATTATGTCTGGACGGTCTCTTGGTTCACCATGCTCTAAAGGATCCAAATAGTAAATAAGGGGACCCAAAGGTGTCGCTGGATTGATCACAATCAATATCCAATATTGCCTAAAATTTTTAAAAATCGTTTAACCAAATCAAAATAGCAAAATAATTAAAAAATCATAACTTATAAGAGTACAACCAATGACTCACCCCGCATTGAATGGCGCTAGAAATAACATATTACGAGTTCCTTTTGTTGAAAAGTACTCTAATCTTGTTAGATTGAAAATCAATGTCTTTTTTCCCAGTATGTTGGCCTATCATATAGGGATTGATAAATGAGAATTTTACTCTCTCATTGTCCATCAACAAGTCATGGTACAAGTGCCTTCATATGAAAACAAATAATTAGATTAAGACTAATAACATTAAATGATAAATAATAAGAATGATAAAATACTTAATCCATATGTTAATAACTGTAGCACCAACCATCTAAAATGAAGTATGTCATCCAAAACGTGCCAATCAATATTGCCAAATATATCATTTGCGCTGTAGATGTGCCTATCAAACTCTACTTGAATACCATTTCCTTCCTGAAAGAAATTAGGTACAATCAATTCCAATTGACTGCGATATGAGGTAATTTGTTTCTGACTTATTTAACTAGCTCAGCCTTTCTTTTTTGATATACTTGTTGAACTTTAGAATTGCTACTAGCCAATTGAATTTGTTTGCTCCTCAACTGTGTAACTTATAAAAATTATGAAACTAAATCAAATAATTATAATAATATAAATAAATAATATAGGAAAATGTAAATTTATTACCTTTTGAAATGGCTCAATGAGACCCATAGGCCATGCAACATAAGCACCTATAACATCTCTTACCATTGTTTGCCGATCAAGAGTAGGAAATGGTAATTGAGCATCTCCATTGGTGCAAACATCAATCCTTACACAAAGTATGTTCTCAGGCAATTGTGAATTATGTAGAAATTCATCACCATTACTGTAAACAACACCCATAGCAACTGCATTCTTAAAAGATTGATCCAAATACAATTTAGAATTTGAGTTGCCCTACCAAAAAAAATAGAGTTAATAAAGAAGAAATTATAAAGAAATTAAAAGTTAAATAGATAAAAACTTAGAGGAAAAGACTAGAGAAAACTTATCAGAGGAAGAGGGAGTTTAGGAACCAAAGTACAACTATCATTCACGCTTGGGCTATTACATGTTTGAATGTTTGGTCCTACCCCGTGTTGTATGTAGCTCTATAGCTAGTCTATTAATTGCATATTTTGTTGTTGCATTACACAAGTTTGTTCAAAAAATTGTTCTTGGATTTTCTGCTTGAAAGAATGCATTTCCTCTTTTAGTTGTGAAATCTCATTTCTGCTGCAGCACTTTTGGGGTCTAAAGTAAGATATCGGTGTCACTCCAAAACCAACACCTCAAACGTGACTAGAAACTTCAAGTACATTTTATGCTCTACTAAACAAATCGACATGTCAATACGTTAGGCTTTCTTTGGTGATTCTTGTGTGATTGATTGCTTGCACAAAAAGAATGATAAAATTATTTATTATAAAATAGAATAATTTAAATAAAAACTATTTAATGGAACATATAATATTTACACAATACTCTACAACTCTTCCAACTTCGTCATGAACAATTTCACCTTTCTTGTTAATGCAACTAGCCAACCACAATGCATGCCGTGATAATTGTGTAATATTTAAGTTTGATTCTTTTATCTACATATTAGAATTAGTTAAATTTAAAAATTACTCTAATAAATTTTATACATATCAAGCAATTATTAGTTCATATACTAATGTTTGCTCTATTTGTTCATATCCTATTCGTCCTTGTCTATAGCGATATTTTATGTTTATCAATTGGGACCGATTTTTGTAACTTAATTCCTGTTTAGATAAAAATTATTAATAGTAACATATAGACTACAATTGGAAAAGTCTATTATTACATGAAATTGCTCAGTTGTGTGTGACTTTAAAAAGATATCCCATTGTTCTTGATCGATGATACCATCATGTAAACTCAGTGGTGTTGGAATGATATTCTCATTATAATCTCTTATGTAGTATTTAACTAGATTAGAATGAAACTTTCTTAGAAGAGTGCCAACTTTCATTAGCACATAGCTCTTTTGAGTCTCATCAATAACAAAACAAGATTATAAGAAAAACCATATTTAATTGGTTCAAGTGTGATCATACGAGAAAAATAACCAAAATGTTAGAATAATTAATATTTTACCTCTACTTCATTCCAAACTAATTTCTTATATTGATTTAGGACTCTTCTCCAATTGTCAAATGTACAAGGGACTCTAACTTGTACAAAAGTATCAATGAAACTAGTAAATTTGCCACGATTGGGTCCAATTGGTTACTTCTTGGAATTCCACTCAATTGATGATTTGATCCCCTTGTTTCTCAACTTAATCAACTTAGCTATAATGGTCCTATCACGGGCTACAACCAACACACACACACACACACACACACCTCTCTGAATATATAAAAGAACTGTGACATTATCCTCATTCTTCTAAGAAATGTTGAGATTATCCTCATTTTGCTCAAGAATATTAACATCATCTTCAGTAGAGAATCTATTTTCTTACAAAATAATTGAAGTAGACAAAACATTAGTTAATAATGAGAGAGTTGAGAAAAGTAAGTAAAATAATTTAAAAAAAGAATTGAAACATGCAAGTAAATTCAAGCAACTCATGTTCTTTTTCTCTTTCTTGTTTGATTTAAAATAGTGTTTCTCTTGATTCTCCTAGTAGTTTAAATTGATATATTAACCCAATTTCCCTCCTTATGATCATATCTAATGTATAAGGGTTCACTCTCATCTTCTTCTTCATCTACATCAAAATCTTCTGATCCTAATGTTTCAAACATAGGATCATCCTCATCTATAGTCATGTATTCATCACCTTCAGTACCGTCTTCTTTTTTATGCTTTTCGTTCGATGGAAGTATAATGAACCAATTCTTCTTAGCAGAATCTAGAATGAAAAACACTTGTTCTACTTGTGAGGCTAGAATAAAAGGATCATCTTTATATCCAACTTTGGAAGGGTCCACCTAAATAAACCCTAACTCATCTATCTGCAATACATTGTTGTTGTTAACCCACTTACATCTAAAAACAGGGATCCTGAACATAGAGTAATCTAACTCTCATATGCGTTCAATGACACCAAAATATGACATTTGTGCATAGATAGGGTTTATGTCCTTAGCACTGGATATATGCTAAGAGCCAGCAATAAGTGTTACACCACTATTTTGCATTGTGCTACTTCATCTTGGTCTTGTGTATAGAATGTCTAACTGCTGATTGCAAAACCAGTGTAAGATAATACATGAAAGGTCAGTCCTTTTGATAACCATATCAGTTTTTTAGAAACTGAATTAGGATTCTTGTCCAACTTATCAATGATGTATCTTTTCAACCAATGGGCAAAATGCCAATTGTGTTCTTTTGTTATCAAATTTTCATTCCTATCACCAAATATACCGCGAAGAATATTCTTGTGTTCTTCAACAAATGGTTCAACTTCATCAATGTTATGCAGTATATATAAGTGAGCTTGCTCCCATTCAATCATTAATATGCTTATCACATTACTCCCTGATCTCTGCCCATCATGATGAGACTTTGAGATTCCCTACATGTTCGACATTAGATAGATAATCAGCACATAAGTCACTTGCTTTCTCAACCATATACCATTCAGTAATACAATCCTCTGGTTGATATCTATTTTTCACTTACCCTTTTAAAACTTCTATAAAATGCTCAATCAAATACATACATCTCAAAGAAACTAGGCCAAACATTTGAACCTCTTTGACCAAGTGCATGGTTGCATGAACTGTGATGTCAAAAAATAAAAGTGGAAAATACATTTCAAGTCCACACAAAGTACAAATAATTTGCCTTTGCAAATCTTGCAACTTCATTGAGTCAACCATTTTATTACAAAACAACTTGAAGAACATGCAAAGTTTAGTGATAGTGTTTTGCACTTTTTTGTGTAAAATAGATCGTATACCAACTGGTAATAAATTTTGTAGAAGCACATAACAATCATGAGACTTAAGGTTCTTCAACTTTAACTCTTTCACTGATATAATGCTTTTGACATTTGAGGAGTAGCCTTTTGGAACTTTAATTCCATGTAGAAACTCATAAAAGGATTTTTTTTTTTCCTTCCTTGAAAGAGTATAAGTTGTAGGAGGCAAATAAGTACGACATCCTTTCTCAACCGGTGCTAACTCTTTTCTTATTCCCGAGGTGACCAAATCCAACCTCGCATTGACACTATCCTTACTTTTTCCTTGCCTAATGAGTAATGTGTCAATTAAACTATCACAAATATTTTTTTCAATATGCATCACATCAAGAAAATGTCTCACATGCAAAAACTTCCAATATGAAAGTTCAAAGAACATTGACCTTTTCTTCCAACCATTTGTCACAACATGTTTTGCAAAATGCTTGCGAAAATTGTTATCTAAGTCTTTCACCTTCTCAAAAACCTGCTCACTAGTCAATATCTTTGGTAGATTACCTTCCTCTGAGTGCCCATTAAAAGCCTTTTCCCACTTTCCTCCAACGATATTTTAAAGGTAAGAATCTACAATGTCCCATATAGACATTTTTCTTATAATGATCCAATCGCATTGAGTGAGTATTATCTGCACATACAGGACATGCACAATATCCTTTTATGCTATATCTTGATAGATTACCATAAGCTCAAAAATAATTAATTGTGCCAAATAGCATGGCTCTTAAATTAAAAATTTTCTTCCTATACCCATCATACATATTCACGCCAGTTTCTCACATCAGCTTTAAGTCATCAATTAAAGGAGCCAAGTACACATCTATATCATTTCCAGACTGTTTGAGCCCAGAAATTAACATGGATAGCATTATAAACTTATGTTTAATGATCAAGCATCGAGGAAGGTTGTATATCATCAATACCATTGCCTATGTGTGATGGTACTACTCTGAACACCATGCGGATTAATTCCATCAATTGCTAATACAAGTTGTAGGTTCCTTTCTTCTTCCCCAAATTTAGGATACTTATAATCAATTTTTTCCCATTATGGAGAGTCTACAGGGTGCCTAAGTTTTGTATCTTCAATCCTTTCATTTGCATGCCATGTCAACTGCTTAGCAATTTTCACATTACTCTACATAAGCCTAAATCTTGGAATAATGGGAAAATACCAAAGGACCTTCAAAGAATTTTTACCTTTCTTCCCATATCACAATGCATTGCATATAGGGCACTTCTCCAACGATGCATACTGATTTCCAAATAAAATGCAATCATTAGGACTTGCGTGTATTTTCTCATAACCCATGCCATTAGAGTAAAAAATTTGCTTAGCCTTGTATGTTTTGGTATGAAGTTCATTTTTCTCTGGAAGCATGTCTTGTAAAAGTATAAGCAATGTAGTAAAACTCAAATCACTCCATCCATATATGCTTTCAAGTTATACAATTTTAATACTGCTAGCAATCTTGTGTGTTTTGTACATCCAACATACAATGGTTTTTCTGCATCACTTTTTAATATCTCGAATAAATTAGGACAATCACAAAGATTCTCTTCAATTGCATTTAGCATATCTTTAAGACCATTATCCTCATCACATATGCTTGTGCCAAACTCATTTAAAGCATGACTTGTGATATGAACTTGATCACTACATGAATCATAAGTCTCACCATGCCTTGTCCATCATGTATAGGATTGATCAATTCCATGACACATTAAATGATCTAGCAAATTAGGCAGACTAATTTGCTTTCCATAACAACACGCTAAGCAAGGACAAACAATCTTTTTAGGATCTTTTGCATGCCTCATTACAAAATCAATAAACTCTTTCACCCCATTTAAATATTCCATTGAACAGATGACTTCCATTTTTGATCCATGTCTTCAACCTCTTATAAATAAACAATTAAGTACATAATTATTATACTTATTAATAACTTTCTATATTTTGTTATTTATCTCAAAATAAAATCGGCAGCATGATGGCTTAAAAATGGAAATTTTCCAAGTTCAAGCTATCTCTTTTGACTAATATTATCTAATCAATCAATTAATCTAGCAAAACTCAATGATTTTCCACAGTTAAAAACAACAACAAAAAATCATATTTGCTAACATATATCAAATCTAAAATAGAAAGTATTCAAAGCCAACAAATTAAATATTGTGACATTACTTCTTTAGTTATTCTTCTTGTTATATCATATGTTTGGACCATTTTAACTTGCATATCTCACAATATCAAATTACAAAACTATGTAAATAGTTGTTTAAATAATATTCTTTACTTAACAAAATTTACCAGCACAACAACTTAAAAATTTTCGGGACCTAAAACTTCTTTTTAACTAATGGTACTTAATTAAACAATTCATATAGCATGTGTCATCAATTTTCAACAGCGCATAACAATAAAGATCATATTTGCCAACACATTATTCCACCTAAAATAGAAAATAAAAAATTATGACTATCACATACTTTCATATGTAACTAATAATAATTAATCATGTCTCATTAATTTTCTAACATATTTTAAGTTTTCATCAATAAATAGTTTTACAAACTCTAACCAGCTACAATAAGATATATTAAGCAAATTAAAATATTTATTATCAACAAACTTACATTTGTAAGCTTTCAAAATAGTGTCAGCTTAAAAAGTAAAAATATTTACAATGTATTGTAAATTGAGCTAAACTAATATTGAGTGCCCTAAAAAAAATAAGCAAATAAGTAAAGTAAAATAAATGAATAATTTTACAAAATCTAACCAACTAAAGTAAAAAGATATTAAGCAAGTTAAAATATTTATTACTAACAAGCTTAAATTTGTAAGCTTTTAAAATAATATGACCTTAAAAAATAAAAATACTTACAATGTATGATAGATTGAACTGAACTATACTGAGTGCCCTGCAAAAAAATAAGCAAAAAAATAAATAAAGAATAGAGAGAGTGGGGATGAGGATGAGGGGTAAAGACAAAAGGCATAAAAATCTACAATTGAGTAGAACTATATTGAATGTCTCGTAAAAAAATAAATAAAATAAAAAGAGAGTCGGGATGAGAAAGAGGATTGGGGATGGGAAAGAGGGGTGAGGACAAAGAGTAGTTGGGATAGGGACAAGGAAAGAGGAGTTGGGAATGGAAGGGGATTGGGACCGTGGGTAGAAACCGAAAGGGGGTGGAAATGAGGAAGGAAAAATAGTGTGAGGACAAAAAAATAGTAGGAATAAAGAAGGAAAAACTGGGGTGGGGATCATAGGTGGAGATGAACATAAGGATCGTGGTATGGAAAGTAAAGTGGGGAGGGAAAATGAGAGATGGGGATGCTTGGTGGAAAGGAGCAAGTGAGTGTGAAGACAAGAGGAGCTATGGGGAAATGGGAAGTAAGAAAAATGGTGAAGATGAGCAGTGGGACTGGTCAGAGGTGATGATGTGGGGGGAAAAAGAGAGGGGAAAAAACAAAGAGAAATAAAAAAAAATAGCCCACTGCTGTAGCATTTTCTAAGTGGGACCTCCTGTAGCGTTTGGTTCACAAAACTCTACGGGTTTAAAATGACCTGTTGTACTACTTTTTGCTTTCTCAAGAAAGCATTACAACAGGTGTGTATTTTTTTTTAATTTTAATATATGTATTTTTACAAAGACCTTGCTATAGAAAATGGGATAGTGTATATATATATTTAGAAAAATCTTCTGTAACGCTTTCTTCAAAAAGTGCTACAACAAGTGAAATATAGCAAATATAATATTTTTTTTTAAAAAAAAAAGATCTTCCGTACCGCTTTCTTGAAAAAGCGCTATAGGAAGTATCATACTAGCTGTAGCACTTTCTTAAAAAAATTCTATAGAATATGCTTTTTTTTAATAAATTAATGAATATTAGTTGTAGTGTTTTCATATTTAAATACTACAAAATAGGTGTTACAAATCAAATATATTGTAGTAGTGAGGGCTTATTGGTCAACCTCGGGTGCTATTTTTCTGCTTGTGTTGATGTGCTTCTAGGTGCACATGCTTGCCTTTTGAAGCAGTTGCAGAATGCTTTTTCTCCTTGCCCATTGGAAGTTTTTTTTTTTTTGGTTTTTAATTAAAGAAATATTTTGTTTATCTATTGAGAATAACGAGCCAATCTATACTGCATAAATTTTGTTTGCTTTAAATGATGAATGATGCCTTTTGTTTATTAAAAAAAGGATAAGAGGTAACAGATATGAAGATGAAGAAAGAAAAGGAGATGGCAATAAAAAACGATGAGGAGAGAGGAAGAAACAATAGGAGTAGAGTTGGGTTTTAGAGCTGGCGGGCTTAAAAGGGCCGGCTTTTCAAGACTGAAATTTTAAAAAATACCCCAATTTGCTAGGTCTGTCCCTTAAACTACAGGGTTTAGGGCCGGCCCGCGGGTTTTTGGCCCGTTTAAGAAAAAATGTTATTTTTTATATTTATCATCTTTTTATTAAAAAAAAATAAAAATAAACCAACAAAATTATTAATAAAAGACATAAATATAAATAAAATTAAGTCACAAATATAAAATATCCTCATATATAAATATCCATTAACATCCAAGAACATCTAAAATATTTATTAACAAGATAACAACATCCAAAAGTTTTATCTATAGTGCAATTGTAAAATAAATAAACACTATTATTAATCTCTTGAAACTTCATCATCACTATAATTAATTACTCTTCTTCATAAGTATGCTTTTCTTTCGTAATAAAAATATCAAGTTTTTCTTTTTTTTACAGGAATTTTACTTTTAAATTTTTCAATCTAGATATTATTTTACTTTAATGTGAGAAATATTGTTGTTGAAACTCAAGAATTTCTAATTCAAATTATAGAATTACATGTTATATAAGCATAAAAATACTCTATTATCAAATATATAGATAGTTTAAAAATATCAACGCATATAATATAAATCAAATCATTATTAAAATCCAAATTAACCCATTTTTTAAAAAATTTAATTGGATAAATTATTGTCTAAAACTAAATTTAATTTTAAAATGATAATAATAACTAAATATTTGAAATATTATTAACAATGTAAAAAATTAATAACATTAGAATTATATAAAAAAATTTACAAAACAAAAAAAAAAGGGCTTAAACGAGCAGGCCCGCGGCCCTCCAAGACTAGCCCTCCAGGACTTATTTCTCATTTGAAGGAAAAAATATCAAGTCCGACTCTCATAATTTCAGGGCATAAACGGGCCGGTTTGTTTACCCGGCTTATAGGAGAAGGAGAGAGGAAGAACATATGTTTTGAGAGCTAGATATGTCTTTCATTTTTGTCCACTTGTGTTGGAAAATTGCTTACCACCAAAAAAGGGAGAAACTGATTTTTCTTTATGCAGATGAAAATTTCCACCGTCGAAAAATAGCTTCCCAAAAAGTTGTCCAACCAAACGCACAAAGCTTGTGGAAAATCTTGATTTTCTTTTTCTAGGGCCAGATTTTCAGCATGCTAAACCGGCCTAAACGTGCTCTCGCAATACAGGAAATGGAAAAGCAGGGAACGGACACACGGGCCACCATGCTTCGATTTCCCTCCATGAGATTGTATTCGAGATTTGTGCCACTTTGTCTTAACCCAAGCTTTCCACCTCACCACTTCACTTTTTTTTTTTAAATGATTCTGAAATTAGTTAACAACAACAAATGGGTTAAGAATAACTTTTTGTTTTTAAATATATTTTTATAATAAATAAAAAAAATAAAAAAATATGTAAAAAAAATGTGATAAGACAAAGTATGACAAATGAGAGATAATAAATAATTAAGAATAAAATTAAAAAATATAAAACAAATTTAAAATGAAAATTTATAAAATGAACCACGCTTTTTTCTAAATTTAGAACTTATAACCGGGACCAATAGTATTTTCCAGAAAGAATCACTCGGATGCTTATCATAACTCATTTACAGGAGAAATTTTTAGTCCTAAATATAAATTACTAGTAGGATATTTAATAATCATTTTTTAATTTTATTTTTATTTAATTCTTGTCAGAAAGAGAGAGATAATCATTTTTTAATTTTACTTGATTTAATTCCTGTTAGAAAGAGAGAAAGAGGAGAGAGAGTTGACATTAATTTGTAAATGCAAAGAAAAAAACTTTAATAAAGATAAATTTGAAAAATTTTATCAATTTAATGCACATCATGAAATCATTGTACATGTACCATCTCATTGAGAATATGCTATTCAGCGTTTCACTCACTCTGAACTTCTCTCACACTAACTTCAGCTTTTCACTTGCTCTGAACTTCTCCCACACTCACAAACAGTTATATAAATAGTTTTATTCAATCAAAAAGCAGTAAAAATCTTCAAATTTAGTCATTCAATAAAAATGTTTTATAATAAGACTTGCAGGTATGGATTCATGGAGACGTATGCTATTTATGAGAGAGCTATTCTAAAAGTTTATATAGGAAAGACATCTTTGCCAAATTTGTGTTCCCTATTACTCTTCCAGGAGATGCCTTTCTTGTTTACTGCCAAAACATGGTTTTTATGGGAGAAGTTATGTGCATGAACAAACTCCAAGCTATAAGACCACAAGCTACAATTGCTCTGCCATTGGAAAAATCTTCATGCTTACAATCTTCGAATTCATGGCTCTGTTTATCTCTGTTTCTTGATTAAAAAGCAGAGGTGGCTGAGAGCAAATTTGATCTTGAATAATGGAGGGATCATATTCAGAGTGAAAGTTAGTGAAAATAATGTTGACTTACACAGCAAAATAGGTTTGCATAATAGATCCTGCACAATCAAAGTGGACTAAGATTTAGTATACACGGCCTTAAAAATGGAGTAAAAAGAAAACCAACTAAATCTGAATTCAGCCAAAAATAAGACGCTCTTTGTGTGTTCTCTTTTCCTTTTGTCTTTTTGTTTTTGGGCGGTTAGGAGCGTTTTTAGTGATGATGAGGATAAACTTACAAAAAAGGCAACAATCAAAGGATAGCATCTGCCCCTTCCCTGGAAATATGATATGTTTGTTTTCTGATTGATAGTTGATACACACATACATGTTTCTGGTTGACCATGAAAACACAAAAGGACAAATTATTCATTACATCAAGTAGATAGCATAACAAGGAGCTTTATATACACATGTATTATTTAACCCTTAGCTGACTTGCGGCTTAGCCTCTCACGCAACCGTGTGATCACTGATGGATTCAGAGTGGCAAGGCCTAAAGAGAGAGCCACTAAGGATATTAGGACAGGGTAAAGGCTTTCAAAGTTAGCTATACTCAGACTTGACGTCTCTATATCACTCTGCTCTTCAAATTCAAAATCTTCAATGGAAGTGGGTAAGGAGTTCTTGGCCATCAGCTCACGATATGGCTCCACGTCTTGCGTCACATTTAAGATTGCATTTGAGAAATGGGAGGCCAGGATAGATCTCTTTGGGAATGCCTGAAAATACAAGGAATATATAGCATCACATTTAAGTTTTATAGACCAACCACTGATAATGGTTGGAATGATTCGCTAATGACTTGATACCCATAAAAATATACATATATTGAAAGAGCTCCTTTTATTTTCAAATTTAATTCAGATGAGCAAATACTATTAGGATTCTAAATAGTCGCACGAAATGTCATAACCATATAATTAGGGGAAATATATATAGATAGATAGAGTGAATAATGTTCTCCCTCCCATACTAATTACTGGGAAAAGTTGGAAAACATTAATCTTTTTATCTTTCTAATTTTGACTTGAGTGTAATTCAATTATTAAATTTTAACTTAACTAAATCTCTATAATTCAGTTTCTAAATTTTGTCTCAATGCAACTTAGTCCATATGGTTTAATCATTTAAAATATTAATCTCTATTTTTTTTAAAAAATATGTATTTCATAAAATTTAAGGACTGAAGTTTAAAATGGTTAAAAATAAAGATTGAGTTGCATTGAGTCAAAATTTAGAACGGACTTACAAATGAGTCAAAACTATAAAACTGAAAAAAAAAAACTAATGTTCCTAACAAATTAAAGTCTTAAATCAAAGCCCTATACTTGGTCTTAAATCTAGGGCAAAGATGTGGTAGTTAATTTCTAACTAGCTGTTGGCCTCCCTTAATTCTTGAACAGTATCTTATTGTGGTAGCTAATTTTAACAAAGCATAGAATCGGAAAGTCACACAAACACATGAAGTTAGCTAACTTTGCCATATGATTAAGAGAAGAGAGTGTAAGCACATGTGATGAGGAAAAGTAAGATGGAGTAGACTTACAAAGGCAAATCCGCCAGTTTTATAGTTCGGTCCTGTCATCATGAAATGAGATCTATATTTGGAGAGGAAGAGCGTGAGGTAAGGGGTTTCATCAAAAATGGCATCCACTCCTCCATGTTTGGTTCCTGTTGACAGTGATTCGTTGTACTTTTCGCGACTTCCTAGAGCCTTCAATTGGGACGAGTTGAGTTTGAGTTGGCTAACCAAAAACCCTTCCACCCATGACCCAGCTTGATATCCCACGGACAGGTTGCTGCTTTTAGTTTCATTTTCGTCCTTAAATGAAGGCTCTTTCATTTTGCTTTGTGTTAAAATTGACGTTAAATTCGCTGTGTAAACTTGCACCACCAAGATGAATAAGAATGATGTCAGTATCACCATCCATCCTGTAGCACTGCTTGCAAAATTCTCCATAACATCTGTGATATATCATCGTACATACAAGATTGATGTCAAGTGTGTGATAGAGCATGTACGAGGCGCATATTGAAACAAAGTAACACATAATCAAAGTAAACATGCTACATAACAGAACTCACCGATCTTGTAAACAAGGAAGGGATTGAAGCGAAATTGGTTGGTTTCATTTCTTTCTAATATAATTATGATAATAGTTGCAGCCGAAAAAATCCCACCAAGAATTAACCATAGTGACCATTTGAAAGGTTTCAAGAGGATCCCCTTACTTATGGACGCATTCTCCACCCTTACCATCATTGTTACACTTGAATCTAAATATGGCAGAGTGAAATCAACACAGTTTGTACGATGTGCCACAACTGTGATGTCTCCAATTATAGCATCAAGATCCTGCAATATTTTCATATACAGAGTAAGTGTTTTCAATCGTGAAGGTAAGAAACAATATCCATAAATATATACATATATCATGCATTCATATTAGTATGCCAATAACATGCCTGATTTTCCGTTAGAAACTTAAAAGATAAATTGATAGAAGAAAAACAACTTAAAAAGAAAAAGAAAACTTGCCCTGTCTGTCATTTGGTTGCAGAGAATATCGTCATAAATGGGAGTACCGCTTCTACTTTTGTTTGGCAAGGGGACAAACTCATAATCGAGCGGAAATGGCAAAACATCGACAACTTTTAAGAACACATTAAAAGCAAAGCCATGAATCATCACCGGCGTAGTCGAATTATCTACACTCACCAATTCAGGAAAAGAATTTGTTGCTACGACTCCAATCCTCAACTTTGGTGGTTTATCCAATGTGTCACCCGGCCACAATGGATCCTTTAGTTGGTATTTACCAGATATCTTAGCACCTTTACTAAAATTTTGAACAAGTCCAGTTTCAGGTTTCCAATAACCAATGACCCTTTCTCTCGGTCCTATCACATTGTATACTTCAAGCACCGATTGATCTAGTTGTCCTCCTTTTAAATTAAAATTTATCCCTGACAAGCCTGTGAAATTAGTATCCCAAATTTCACTTTGAAGTTTTGTGCCATTATTGTCTGCGCCTGGCTTCTCTAATGCCATAGCCAATGCTTCGATTGTGTGATAAGCCCACCATCCATAGACTGATAGGGTACTATTGAACCTGTAGTCAAAATAACTCTGTGTCCACCTACGCCAACGTGTTTTGTTCGAATCCATTGGCCTCACTCCCAATGCACCTTGCATGTATCCTTTCAAAGGGTTCCCAGTCGTAACTTGAGGATCTGTTAAAGAAGATAACCCCTGGGTAAGTATCCAAGCATATCCTTCTCCCATCATGTCTTGTTCTTCTGCAGACTGAATAAATCTTATTCCCAAATCCATGCTCATATGGACAAGAAATACATGTGTTCGCCTGTTGTTTAACTTGACGAGAATGTCGTCAATTTCAACATCTGTTGAATCTGGATCAATGGCAGTTATGTTAACCATTCGTATGCCCATATCTTTCAAGACATTGCTGAGGCATGGAATAAGGTGACCGCCATATTCAGTGTCTTCAAAAATGGGGACGATTGACTGCCACCCAAGAGCTTCAATGGTGGCAGCTATAGCTTGGAACTGAAAGCAATTAAGGCCTTGATTGGAGGATGGTGATGGAGGTGGCAAAAGGGATGGGCCAGTTATGGGAAACCAAATAACAGGTACTTGGGATTCCAAGCCAAGTTCCACTATAAAACCTGCTTGCTCTGAATTTTGGGGCCCCAGAATGGCACGCACTTTGTGTTTCTCAATTAGTTCAGAAGCTGCTTGCATATTCAAAGGTTGTCTCCAAGTTCTATCACCTTGATCTCTACATGTTAACATAAAGTAAGCCTATTTTATCCTAAAATAGGTCTACTCTACGTTAACTTGAAGAGTCAGGGAGACAGGACCGGAGCCCAACCAAAAAAAAAAATGAAACAGGGAGCATATTAATAAATAAAATGATATCCTTATGGCTGCCTAAAATTTTAAAGAGGGAATGGCATTTAGGACCATTATATTAATTTAATTTTCAATTTGGTAACGACAGAATTTAAAACTTTCGTAAAAGGCTTTTGTTTTTCAATGGTAGTTATAAATAACCACCATTTTTGATGAAACTCTAAGAAGCTAATAAAAAAGGTAAAAAGAAAAAACTACAAGAATCTAATTAAAATCACATGAAACTTAGGTGAAATTATAAGAACCTGATTAAGAAATTATATGAACCTAAAAATAAGGTGAAACTACATAAATTTGCAGATTAATTTTTTAGAAAAAAAGAAAAACAGGGGAGGCTTGGGTTCACTTTTTACATTAAACACTAAGCCCAGCCTACAGCATACTTTGATCATTAACAAAAATCACCGTACATGCAGACTCTCAAAAAGACTCATGCTAATTTTAAGTTATGTTTTCTTGTTAATGATCATTGCAAAAAATCTATCAAAAAATAATATTGTTTATGATGTTAGAGAGAAATTAAAATTGAGAAGATGGAGATGGGAGCAGGGGGTGTCACGTTACCATTTCCTGCTGCGGCGACGGCGTCGTTCTGAGAAACATTCCGGATTATAAGGCGAATCTTGGTGGCTGTATAACGCTCTGTATCTTCGACGGCGAGGGCGAGGCTGTTGTTAACCATTTTGCCAAGTTCAGAATTCAGGTCAAGAATGACGCCTACTGGCACTTCATCTGGTTTGGCCGCCATGGAAGGTCTAAGCCATAACAGTACTAAGGCCACACTCACACTTAAGAGAGCTTTCAAGCTTTTCTGCAACAACTCCGCCATTATTGATCTCAGTTCTCTCCCTTCTCTCTCTTCACTTATTCCTCTTTCTATATATGCACCAGCCTCCAACATTATTATACCCTTTTCCCTCTTCTTTTGTCTTTATTATATCATTCTCTTTTGGGATTAAATTTTAACTTCTGTTTTCGCATTCCTAATTTCCTACTCTTAATTTGTATAATGCCTATAGAGGTTATTATGAACGAATATTCTCATTTCTATCATCGTCACGCTTATCCACTTTTTTCTCACTGTTTCCTTCCTCATCATGCCCTTGCATATGGTAAAGTCAAGCATCTTAGACATAATAGGTAGTTTTTTCCACACAAAAAAAAAGGCACCTATCTTTATGGAAAAAAAAGATAATAAAATATCATAAAAATTGCTAAAAGACAAATCAGCATGGATAAATTTTAAAATTCCAATTCAGACCTCTTTATCATTTTGGAATTTTCAAATCTTGTAAAATTATACAAATATCATTCACTATTTAAAAAAAATTTATCACATCAACACCCTTAACAGGTTTCTAGCCACTAGAGCTCTTGTGCCAAGAGCCCTATTAGGTCAACCACTAAAGCTTCGATGACATGTCACCGAAATGTATTGAATATTTTTTTTTAGTTATTAACTACATTTGTTTTTAGAACTCTAATAACTACTTTTGTTTAGCTATTAACCACTTTATTATTGCGATTGATTACTTTCATTTTTAAAAATTTGTTGATTACTCTTGTTTAGCTATTGACTACTCTAATTTCGCTAGTGATTATTTTTATTTCAAAAATTCAAAAAATACATTAAATGTTGTTGGAGATCTAGTGACTACTTTTTGTTTAGTTATTTACTACTTTTTTACAGTCAATAGGTATATAAAAGTAGTCATCAAAATTTTAAAAACAAAAGTACTCAATAGTTAAATTATAGTAGTTAATAGCTCTATGAAACTAATTACCAGGAATAAGGACAGTGTTGTTATTTCACAATATTTTAAAATTTCAAAATAGTATAAGGAGTATGATCTAGAATTTTAGAATTCACTCGCTCTAATTTGTCCTCTAATATTTTTAAGAGTATTTTAGTATCTTTTTCGCTATCTTTATTCGCTTATTTATATTAGTAATTTATATACATACATATAATAAATTATAATCCATATGCTCCCCATGGTCCATGATACACACAAGTTACTCCTAGGAAAACTGTTTGGTTAATAAGTTGCCTAGAGAGTAATTAATTATTCTTTCTCAATTTTGTCTGTATAATTAATGCTTAAATGTGGCTCCTTATAATTTTTCTCTTCTTTATAACCTCATTTAATATAAGTAAAGTTGAAAAAAATTTAATTTAAGACATATTTAGTGTGTTAGCCATCATTTTTTTATTTCTGTGAATTAGTCAAAGACACTCAAGACTGGAGGGAGTATAATTTTTTTGGGTCAAACAGGAGGGAGTATTCAATCCATATATTTACCAATTCATCCATATAACTATTCAAAAGTCATTGATTTCTCGCGCTTTATAGGTATAATCGTGTCTAAACATTTTTAGGCAATTGTGATTCATGTTTGCAAATAAATATCAAAAGTGTAAAATTTTTTCAGATAATTAGTTTATATATTTTATCATACAAATTATATATAAAGTAGATTCATTTTTTGGTGTAATGCACAGTATAAATAACAATATGATAAAAACTTTTTCTGACTGAAAGATACATTAATTTCAGTTCAACATGTTAGGCGCATATTAACTTTAATCCAAATTTAAATGTATAGTACAAAAAGTAAAGAGAATAATTAAAATTAAAAATAGTAATGATAAATAACAAAAAGTGGCTTTTGGATTGGTCAGTGTTACGTTTGAAAATAAGTTTATATTACCAAAAAAAAAAAAGGCAAGACCAGGTTCAGGTTTTTTTTTTAAAAAAAAAAAAGACAAGACCAGGTTTAGTTTAGTAGTATCACTTTTGAATATATTGAAGAATGAAGTAGTTTATAGCCTATAAATAATAGGACAATACTTACATCAAATTTTACAATCACAAAAATACTTACATCAAGTTTCTTATATTCATTATATTAAGTTCTCTAATCACATATAACCATGTGTTTACTATTTTTAAAATATTAGTATCACTCGTAGAAGATTTTTGCAGGCATATAGATTTTAGATATATGGATTCTTAAAACATAAAATAGTGCATAAGTTTTTTTCATATATAAACTGAGACCAGTAAGAAGCTAGAAAAAATTGACACCGGAAAATTTTATCTATATATAATTGGCCAAAAAGGTGTCCTTTAGAAATAAAAATATATCCGATACTGATATGAGGATTTATTAATACATGATTTGTAGGTATTTCTACAAGTGCTTTTAACCTTAGAGAGCACACCTTATCCGAGTAAATACTCAAGGACTGACCCAAGTTTTTTTATTAAATAAATTAGAAAAAATTAGACTTAGGTCTCAATTAAGAGATTTTATTATTGCAAAGTTCTTTGAAATTTTCAAAGTAATCTCAAGTTCCAAGGGATATGTGGATGGAATATTGCAATTGTGACTGAACCATTTTACCACATTGATATATATATATATATTGTCACTCTCAATACTCCCTCTTATTAATGTCAACTCCTTTATTTGTCAATTGTGTCTATACAGATTATCACTCCATGTTATAAAATTATCAGGTGAAAAGGCAAGTATTGACAATGTCTTGCGGCTCAATTAACAAGTCAAAGTGCTTCGAGTGACAACCTGTTATGGGCCAATTGACAAGTCAGAATGCAACAGGAAGTGATAATCTCTAAAATTATTTTGAATTTGAGATTAATTTTTACTAGACTGAAAGTATTAGAGTTAAAACCAAATATTTTACCTGCTTCAAACTATAATATCCTCCATTGTTGTCGTCTGAGTGATTTTTTTTTTTTAATATTTCAAGTGGAAGAAACTTAGTGGAATTTTTGCAGGACTCCATGATTGATTGGGGGAAAAGAAAAGGACATTATATAGAGGGATTTATGTTGGGTGCTCATCAGTTTTGATGAGCACCAAATACTCATCAGATCTGGACCGTTCAGATCTAATTTGGACAGTCCAGATTTATTTTTATTTTTTAAAAATAATTATTTTAATAGGTATAAAATAAAAATAAAGATAATCTATTAACTACCACTCTTTAAAAATATAATTTTTTCTATTTTAAAATAATTATTTAATAATATTAAATGTGGATGGTTCAAGTTAAATTTGGACAGTCCACTGAAGCCTTATATAGAGTGACGTGTGAGGGTTACGCAACACGGGAATCATGTACTCAAAAAGTGATGTATGACACGTGTCTCTAATACATTTTTTTTAAAAAAATAATTTTCCAATCCATGCTTTTATTTTATTTATTTATTTATTTCTGGTAAAATCCAATCCATGATTTTACAGCGCAAAGAAAACTATTTTGTTGGTACCTATATATTTTCTTAATTTTTATTTTAGTATTGAGTTTTTTTTGTCTTAATTAAATATCATTTCTAATCCTATATTACAAGTTATATTTTATATTTAAAATTAGAGGTAGTACTTTAATTTTATTCTGTTAGTATCACTATCTTCTCTACAAAAACTAAATTAAAATTATTAGTAGACCAAAGTTATAAGGGTAACGATGTTAACAGAATAAAATTAAAGTATTTTATTAAAAGAGAAAAATACTCATGTGCCGACTTAAAATTTGAAGAAAAGTATAGATATCTACAAAATGATTTCTCTTAAGTATATTAAGCAAACAATCATTTAAATGAAAGCATGTATTGGAGACGCATGGATTGGAGACAAGCATAATATTAAAAAGCGTATATTGACAAGTAGGTCCATTTTTGGCCAAAGAAATAAAGACAACGGTAGGTTGATGACTTAGAAAGAAAGAAGGTACGTAGATTTGTCCTAAACCAGAAAAGAATTAAAAAGGGAGTATTATTTAATATTTTAGATTTTCTTAATAAACATATATTTTATATCTTTATTAATTTTTTTTACTTATTCTAAGTGACAAAATAATAAAGAGTTTATATGAACTAATATTTATTATGAGTTGGACATGAAAATCATAATTAATTATGTAAAACATCGAAAAGACGCTAATTAATCATTATAAAAATACTTACATACTGCTTCAATCTTTATATGGAATTGGATTCTCTCCACTACCTTCCCATCCTCTTCCCCTCCACTACCCTCCTTTTCTCTTCACAACCATTGGATCAAAACTCCAATGGTCCAGATTTAATATGTTATAACATTTTATAAAAATAAATATTATGATAAAAAATAGATAAATAAATTTAAACTGTTAAAATATAATCTAAACAGTTTATAACTACAGAATGTTATTATAGAGCAAATTTTTTTCATTACAATTGTAAACTGTTCAGACTAGATTTTAACAGTTTAAATTTATTTATTTAATTTTTCAATAACATTATTTTTATAAGATGTTAAATTTGGACTATTGGAATTTTAATCCAATGGTTGTGAAGAGAAAAGAAGGATAGTGGAGGGGAAGAGGATGGAAAGGGTAGTGGAGAGAATCCAATTCCATCTTTATATATATACAACACTTCTAGCTACTTCATCGAAGATAAGAAAATATAGTTAAATTATTTCTGTCATCTAAAAAAAAAAAAGAAATATTAGTAATATTTTGACTTGACCGTTCTTTAAAATTAAAACATACATCTAAGAAATACAAATCCTAAAAAATTATAGACAAGAGTGGTTTGAAAAAAGTTAATACTATTTTTTGTCTTTAAAATTTGTTTTAAGTTCCTCATGTTTACTCCGTTTAGAAGCGTTGGTCCATAGTTTGAAAAGGACTTAGAGCTAGAATTAACAGTATTAAGTTTACTTATGTGGCATTAACACCGTTAAGTTTGCTTATTTTGAGAGTTGACATGGACGATCGAATGGCAAACTTGATGAGTAGGTAAATGAAAGACG